TGAAATACCCATACGGTCGACTGCTGTTTCCTTTCGGGCTCATACGCATAAATCCATGATCCATCACCTGTCTCGATGTCGTAGACGTGTTTCGAAGCATCGCGATCGTATTTTTTGAGCTTTTTTTTTCGACCAATCGACACGAGTCCCTTTTTTGGGACATTGTCATATTTTTCAAAAACATTTTTTTACAGTCAAATGTTCATGCAAAATTGAATGTAAGCTAGTCCCACTAATGCCTAAGGTTGCCTCAATCTCACGATAGGTCACGGACTTGCAATATTAGTTTGTGCACAGTATCAACGGTTTTCGAAACAACAACTGATTTTGGGCGACCTCCACGAAATTCGTCTTCGAGTGAACTACGACCTCGGGTGAACTCACTGTACCATTGATAAACACTGGCCTTGGATGGAGCTTCATCACCGAAAGTTGAACTAAGCTCATCCATGCATTGCTGTTGAGTTAGTTCACGTCGAAAGTTGTAGAAAATAATCGCGCGGAAATGCTCACGGTTCAACTCTACAACTTGGCCTAAGCAACATCTTATAATTTAGTGTGAACAACACAAATCGCGCTCAAACTTCGCAACGGAACCTCAAAATAGTCAAACTTTACGATAGTGGTGTCAGTTGCTAGATTGCTACACTAGTGTTTCGAAATCCCGAATATAAAAGGCAACTCCGTAACTGAAGTCCACCCTTGTTGTAGACTTTTCCTTCATGAATACGTTCTCAATCGTTTCTTACTTGAAAATGCGGTTTTCGCTCACTTCCAACTTTAGACCCGTTTTGCAGTTTTTGCCTGTGGGCAGGCATACATATGAACTGTCCTTTGAAGCTTTTCCCTCCCAGAGTTCCCATAGAAATATTTTTCACGAGCGAAGTAACCCACGCATCAGTATCATGATAGAAGACGGCTTGAAACGCATTTCGGACATTCAGTATCCATTTCACTCGGTTGAGATCAAAAGGTTACCGGAGATGCTCGCTATTCCCGTACCACAAGCGGAGAAAGGTATCTTCACAACTCAGGATTGATCGAGTCTTGTCCTTCATTTCTCTTCATAAGCCCCGCACCTTGGCATAATCATCATGCTTTGCTGCTTGCTGGTGTGTGTACCACACAAGTTCTGTCTTGGTTTGAGTGAGTTCGTTCTTCATTGAGCGAAGGTGGTGTAGGGGGAAGTGTCGCACTATCACACATGCTTGGTCCGGAGATCGACTCTCGGATCGGTCGTTCAGGTCAACCAAGGTTTCTTTCTCTCTGGAGTCGGTTAATATGTATCAGACCAGTCTGGGAGGATCAAAGCACTGACTTGTACATCGGCAGGGCCACCGCAACTCATCTGGCATAGGCTACAAACACATCCAATACACCACTACGATTTGGAATGGAAGTCAAATACGGAGACGCATCCCTTAGACGAGATTGATGAGCTCTTAAAAACTTTATCTTTTCTTTTTATCCTCCTCTACCACTTCTGCGCACCGTGATTCTTGTGTTCAAGCCTTCAAGTCGAGTGTTTTTCTGGGCCTTCCGCGCGTGTTCATAAATTACCGCATGACATATTGCACATTTTGCTAGTGCATTTCCAGACCAAGCTACGAACAACAGGAGTTGAGGTATTTTATATGGATCTGGAGAGGCTGGAGATGACCATACCTTTTTCAAGGCCATAGTCGATGATTTCAACGCCGAGACCGGCCCCAGGAAAAAACGGTGAAAAGCTCCTCATCGGACACACGGAGTGGAATGAACATGGTGAAGGGCTGTATCAGCTAAACAGGTCGAGCCACATTATCCATGCGTGGAAAGAGAGCTGTGAAATTCAAAAAACGAAGCCCCAAGACCATCATCAACTTGAACCACTTTATTTCCCTTGCGGATGATTGGGAAGATTCTGTTAACGACAACATAGATGGAAAATACAACCAGCTTGTCGAGCATTTTCATGACAGTGCTAGGAAAGCAGAGAGTCTACAAGAAGTCATGGGACGACTCTCTTTGAAGATTCTCGAGCTGATACCTAGCGCGGAATGGCAGGAGCCACAGGCAATCACGATTTAACGTCCGAACTTGCGAAGCTATGCAGAGAAACGACAAAGGAAAATGTCAAAGAGAAAGGAGCAGTAATTACTAGCCGCCGATGCTGGAAATAGAATTCGCAAACCTGACGGAGCTTCACTTATTACAAAACCGAAATGACTCCTCCTTGTTGTTCCAACGGAACAGTTACTGCATCTCGAGGGGCAATGGAGAAGGTCATCTACGACTTCTACTCAGATCTCTTCGACAACCACGTCTAATTGCCTACCTACCATCTTCGGCATGACGGATACGTCTTCCCTTTCCCTTCCGAAATTCGACATGCCAACACGCCGATCGTAAGACAATCTGCCTTGATCCCGAAACCGACGGGATCAAAGCCAACACTTCAGAAATTTTTCAGAAAAAAATTTGAAAGTACCAAAGCAAAGTTGTGTAAGATAACTGATAGAAGTAGACGATTTCTATAAAAACGATCATAGTAAATCCTACCCCTTGCAGTTTAGTCGCATTTCTACAGTGCAGTCCTCCGACGAAGTTCACTCGTGGCATGTAAGGCCGTGCAAAGTCGAAAATAGGCGGATTGTTCACGAAGTTGATCGAAGCATTTCGTTCAATATCAAAAGCGGCGGCTACTCCAGGATAGTGCTTCTGCAATTAATTAGCATTATCAATAGTCACTGAATGAAGAAACCCTCTATATCTTATTATTTATTTTTTATCTTATGCTATGTATGTCTATACAAGAGGTAATTATCTGGTAAGGAGACCTCCGCAGATAAGGGGATTTGCCCATAAATGTGCTGAAGAACGTTTTATACCCAAGAATATAAAGTTTGTTGATCTGAGCTTCAGGAAGGAAGGGGCACCGGGATGGGTGAGTCAATAGAATATTCAACTCATATCTCATTCCAACTTTTTGCACGAGGTAATCATCTTACCCCCATCTCGGCGTTACTCCCCTCCTGAAGCTTAGATAGAAACTATATTCTTCCGCCTAGGACCGTCTCTAAGCACAGGCAACGTCGGCTACAGTGTTGGATAAAAGCAGTGCCCCCTCCGCGCTCTATCTACCCGTAACTTGAAATATTTAGAAAAAGCTCAGAATTGCAAAAAGTGAGTTTATCGATGAAGATCCCGTTTAACGATCAACTTGGCTGCTGGATGCTCCCTTTTCTTTACTTACTCGGTGACCGAAAAAACATGTCCTCCTCATTTGGGAACCATTCCACGCTGAATGGCAATCATCTCACTGTGGGACGCCCACGAGCACGCTGTTGAGCTTTAGGCAAAACTCCACTATCTGTACTCTACAATCACATGATGGTCGCAGAAAGTGCATTTGAAAAAGTCGGAACCAGTTTAGAACTCAATTAATTCACACGCTACCTTAAGAACAACTGTAAGAGCATTTGTGAACTAATACGCTAACAAGATCAATCAGCGACAGGCCACACATTTCTGAGACTTTGCGCCTTTTGTCAAAGTTCAGTGGGTTTTTATCATGACTCATAAAGAATCGCACGTCTGGTAGTGCAATAATCGAGGCATTTCATACTCAATGGCCAGCTTCATGCTTCTGAGCTTACGATTAGCTTCTCCAACGTTGTCGATGAGGACAAACCGAAAATTACGCTGCACTTGTAAGACTGTTAAATCTTGTTCGAAAATACCAAGAAGTAAACAAGCATGTTAGGCAAAGTGAACAACTGATCGCAACGGAGGGAGTACTGACCTTCAGGAAAGGGTAGGGTAAGGGTAAAGTTGCAGTATCAGCGGTAAAGGTATTGCTGTTATGTTGAGAATGCTGAAGAGTCAGTCTTGTGGCTAAGGAGGGTCTAATAATTGATTAGAGTGTTCATGTTTGCCAGGGGAGCCCACTCAATACTGTCGAGAAGCCAATTCTGGGGAGATCAAATTCAAATGGTTTCTAGTAACAATAATAACTTTTCACAGAGAAAATACAAAATATTCGCTGATATCGACCTACCTGAAAAATGGCATCAATTCTTGGCAAAACTATGTGATGATGAATATACAAGGCTCGGAGATAAGAAGCCAGATTGAAAGTGCGTTGGAAATAGTTGAGATCATCTGTGAGCCTGAAATCGTTTGAACAGTTCTTGGAAATTCATTAAAAACAATAAAACGCCAAAATATGTTCAATTACAAGTATGGGTAACTAATCAAATATTCACTTCGTTCCGGGTACAGGCAAATAACTTGGTGGTGATGGGCTCTGATTTGCCCAAGCGGATTCAGTTCGAAGAGCCGTCATGCTCCAGTAGATGTAAACAGAGCCTGAAATCATCGCAACTAACTCAGACATCTACAGATAGTGCCCGCTTCTGGATGTTCATATGAATCCGTCGAGAAAACTATTGATGAGATTTCCCCAGGCTTTGGCTTTGAGTTCTGAGTGATTCTCTAGTGTAAAAGACCGGGAACTCAGTATTACAGGAAGTGAAATGGGTTTCTGTAAATTTCCTATTTCACTGGAGGAAAGGCTGCTTTAAGTAACCGATCTCCGAGTGGGAGGACAGTTCTAAAACGGAATTGGAAGAAACATCCCTCAAATAGTTTTGCACACTTTGTAAGTGTTCAAGGTTGAGTCAAAATGACATCTTATGACAAATTGCTTGACACAAAGATTTCCTCTTCGCCTTTTTGATTGCCCTTAGGTTAGAATACGGTGAGATGAGAGAATTGAGAGCAATTTAGCGATCTACTGGAGTTTCCAACTTCTAAGATTTCGTCCAAAATAACGTATTTGTATTCCTGTCTTCGAAAATAATGATTTGCAACCAATTGAAAATTCTTCGGAATTACATTTAGTTCATAACCAACGACCTCTGCCCACGCTCGGTCTAGAGCGGACGGAGCTCTTTTCAACTACAGTGCGCTCTGCATATCATGGCTCATGCCCCACCACACCGGACCCCTCCACATGGAATTTTGATGAACTTGCCTTTAAGAGCGACTTGTAGCAAACCGCATGGATTATACAGATCGTCAACGATGACCGTGTCGAATCTGAATAGGTATCCAATTGCAATATAGAAAAACCAAAAGGCTGGGTAAGGAAAGCGTTAAAAAAGCAATCATTGAAATAGCGATGGACCTTTCGGGCCCATGTGTTTGAATTCCGTTCGAAGATTAAACAAAAATGAGCCAACTTTATCGGAAAGTCGCGTTTTGTCGAGCAAGAGTTCGAACGGTCACCGTTGTTGCCCAGAACCAATTCAGCATCCAGCCCTGGGACCGTCGCCACTTTTAGCTAACATCATAATCGCTCGCTCACCTTTCCTTGACCAACTGGTCAAACTTCGATTTGCTTTTGGCCAGGAGTCGATCACACAATCTTACTGAGGCCAGCCACGCAGTTGTTTGTTCGTTTGGGTGATCGAAATGCGGGTCCCATAGCTGAAAGGCAGCCCTTAGGCATTGCGTTAGTAGCCAACCTATCAAATATTGAAAACTCATTTTCAGTAGAGGTCAACAGTACTCTTCCGAAGTAAGAAGCTCAATGCACTGCAAAGAGTTATTTAGAAAGTAGAGCCCGCAATGTTTGTTCCTTAGCTTTCAAAGGTAGCTGACGGCCATCTTCGAGGTCCAAATGTTCGTGATGTTTACACAAATTTTGTGAAAAGTAAGTACGCAAGTTGAAAACAGAAGCGGTGGTCGGCCTGATAAGAGGCTAGTTGCTGTTGAAGCGAAAACAACGCCTAGCCTACGGTCATGTCTACTCTCTTTTATATCAGAAACGAAGTGAATCGAGTACGAACTTGGTCGTGGACAGAGTGATTGCGATGTACGAAAATGTCGCTGAAGACTTGTTGATCGAATTGTACCGGCCAGTAAACTCTCTTCACGGCTTTCGATAGTGTCGTCTTTGACTGAAATTATAGCGATTACTACTAGTAATGGTTTCTGATATCTTTCCCAAGGAACGACTACTTTCTACGTATCCTGATTGGGAAAAAACCCACCTGTACTGGTCCGTACTCCAGCCAAGTGATGTCATGTTTCCGTCGTGCCAGCTCATTTGCTAGATGTTTCATGGTGTACCCGTGCATTGGATAGAGAGTGCTAGGCATGAATAGCACCTTCGCCGAATTGACAAATGCGACGGCGACGGCGAGCAGGGCAAAGACGAGATCTATCCGCATCTGGAGAAAGGCAACTCATACAGTTTTGTCAAATGCAATCAAAAATTATGGAAGTGGAGTCAGTGGAGACTAGGCATTTCCAGTGATGAACACGGTTCACTTTATCGATAATTCTAATAATAATTTGGCTTATGAGCGTATATGAATAGTTTAACAGTGTAGCAAGCAGGACACCGTAGCAAATTAACATGGTCTGAGTGGATGAGAAGGAAAACAATGAATACGTCTACTGAGTGGTAGATTCGGAAGGTCTACGAACAGAATCCCCTGCCCTGCGCTGTTTCGGTTCAGGTGCAGCGAGGTGTTTCCTTTAGTTGTAAGCAAGATGTGAAAACGGATAATACAGAAACATCATCGAGTTCAAATTCAACAACTGAAGAACTGTCAAATCCCAATGAATAAGAAAGTGTTTGCCATGAGGTGTTACTTCTCGAAAATGTTGCCATGAAGTATTACCTTCAGCATTCTAATCCTGTTCTTATTTTGTCAGTGCAAAACTTGAATAAAGAAAATGGGATAAAATAAGGGCGAAAAAATCTTCACATCGTAAAAAAAAAACGGAAGAAGTAGGTAACAAAGACGAAAAAAGATGAAGAAGAAGGGAAGGATGCACCGATAGCAGTCAATCATGGAACACTGTTGTATCTGCTGGAAACTGGTTAGTTTAATGAAAANCCAAAGCAAAGTTGTGTAAGATAACTGATAGAAGTAGACGACTTCTATAAAAACGATCATAGTAAATCCTACCCCTTGCA